CTGATCAAAACAGATACTATCATACTACACTTGGTCTATCTTAAGCCAAAAGGCCGAGAAAGGTAGACTAGCAATGATTCTAATTTCTAAACAAGAAATTATGTTGGTTAAAGTAAGCAGTGGTGGGCAGTTTCACGGAAAAATTGATATGCTAAATCGATGGCGGCCTAACGGCGTCCCACCGGTCCGTGGTAATAGATCATATATTCCCACTTGGGACTCCAGCCTGAATGGTAGTGGCCGTTCCAAAAGTAGCAAAAAAAAAAAAAAAAAAAAAAAACCGTAAACAAAATGGACCGTTATCGCCGACCTCTCCAAATAGTAAACGTATCCGACCTCCTTTTCAGTACACATCCTCTCACTCACACCCAGTAGGACCCCTGTCACACAAGTTCTTTTAATACCTGGAGCACTTTTTTTTTTTTTTTTTTTTTTCAGGATCAGGGGAAAAAACACAAATACATACTCACCCTAGACTTAGCTCTGGACGTAATTAGGGTCAGATGCATATATGGCTGTCTGGAATTGCGATCAGATACATATCAGGAAAGTCCCGGTGTATGCCCTGAGATGGTGATGTGTACCTGAACTGCTTATACATATCATAGGTCTGCTATATGTTAGAAAGAGAGGTGGGGAGAGGGGAGGGAAGGGGGAAAAAAAAAGAAAAAAAAAAAAAGGGAAAACTCTAAATTGTTGAAATGCCCCTGAACGTTCCGATATTTTGGCCGATACCCATAGAGGGCTTGGGTATGGCCAAATGCCCCTATGACAGTCGTGAAACTTCGCAAAATACCACCCCCCCCCCAACTTGCCAACTGGACCTGTCCTCTCTCACATATACCCCTACCGGGCCCTGGTGTAGTGTATCGGTGCAAGACATACTGTCAGCAGTAATCATGCAGCGAGGTTGTTCACACAGAAATGAAAAGAGATGACAGACCGCAAAGTCGATTCGAAACGGAACGAAACGGAACGAAATGGAATGCAACGAAACAACGATACTCTGAAAACGACGAAGAAGACGGTAAGTGCACAGCATCCAAACACACCACGCGTGACGGAACGTCAACACATGCTGGCGGTCCCCACCAAATTCCAACAAACAGAAGACCGGTCTGCTATATCCAGGAAAGCCCTGCCGTCTTCACCCGTATTAAATGCCCGGTCATTATCCCTGTATTCGGCTCAACTTTCCGTCCAGATGCAGCAACAACGACCGGCGTTATATTCCGGTGAAGATGGTCGTGTGCGTAAGCCTGCGCGTAGAATGGATAGAAGCTCGGCAAACACTTTTCCCGTTGATTTCTCCCGTTGACTTTTCCCGTTGACTTTTCCCAGGGAGATAGGCTAAGAAAAGTTTTGACAGTCCTTCAGAAAAGGAAAAAAAAGGCTAAACGTTCCCGTTTGTGTCGGCAGTCTGAGCATGCCCTGAGTTCCAGTTTGAGGGATAAATCTCTCTCTCTCTCTCTCTCTCTCTCTCTCTCTTCGATCAGACACAGTCCCTCGGAAAAGGGAAAAAAAAGCGAGGCTAAAAGTTGGCCGGTTTAGGCTCCCTGAGGGCATACGCATACTGGCACTTAGCTAAACGTATCTGACCGCAATTACGGCTGGACCTGAATGAATCTGACAGTGATTACATCCAGAGCTTAGTAGAAAAAAGGTCTAGTGTGAGAGCATGCCCTGAGTCCCAGTTTGAAGGAATAAGGGCAAGTGTTTTTGCTCAAGGAGTTGGCGTAGCCTCAAAAGTGGGGTGACGGTCAAGTAAGCAGCGGTCGGGCAGTAGTATATCCTTGCCAGTGAGGGAAGAAATCAATGCTGAAGTCTCAGGGCGTGCTCACACTAGCACCATCTTACATGTATCTGACGCCATTTACAGCCGCAGCTGGATGTATCTGACCACAATGACGTCCACAAGTGGGGTCTCCGCTCATGTAAGCAGAGGTGGAGCAGTAGTTAACCCTTGCAATCGGCGGAAGAAATCAATGCTGCTGTCTCACGGCGTACTCACACTCGCTCTATCTTACATGTATGTGACCCCATGTACAGCCGCACCTGATGTATCTGACCACAATTATGTCCAGAAACAAGGTAAAAAGTCCTAGAGTATGCCCTCACGATCCCTGCACCATAACTGAGGAAGGTGCCCTGTACGTTTCTGATGTAAGGGACACAGGACCCCGTTCCCGGTTTCCTTCTTATTGATAACAACATAAAAAGCTGTTTTTGTTTAAAAAAAATAATAATAATAATAATAATAATAATAATAATAAAATTAAATAAATTGCATTTTGAATTTTTGACTGCGCATATAAACCATGGCTACCGCGAACCCACGCACTGGACCAATCCGGACCCAGACAACCAGTCGGTCCGCGGATATGATCCGCACGCCCGGATTTCCGGATCAGCCCGGACTGGTCCGGATGATCATGTCCGGATATTAAAAAAAAAAAAAAAAAAAAAAAAAAAACACTGGCAGGTCTCTCATGCATGTTGAATCCAGTTTCATCGTATAACCTTTGACTTAAGGGGAACCGTTCCAAGGAGACAGCACTGCTGGCATATTTGACAAACAATGCATGAATCGCTGATCATTCCTTGGCATGCACTGTGCTGGCACAGTCACTGCAAAGCACAAACTGCTGCAAGGGAAGAAAAAGTGAAGAAAAAACAGAAAAAAAAAAAAGAGCACTCCGCAGGAAACTTAGAGTAAAGGTAAATAATAAATATTAAATGAAGTTCAAGACTTTAGCCGTTCAGAATTTAAAGTTCAAAGTTCTTAGTCCGAGTTCAATCTCTCTCTCTCTCTCTCTCTCTCTCTCTCTTGAATATGTGCACATGCACGCACCAGTCCACCTCGGTAACGAGGGCTCTCTCTCCCTCTCCCTCTCTCTCTTCAAGACTTTAGCCGTTCAGAATTTAAAGTTCAAAGTTCTTAGTCCGAGTTCAATCTCTCTCTCTCTCTCTCTCTCTCTCTCTCTCTCTCTCTCTCTCTCTCTCTTGAATATGTGCACATGCACGCACCAGTCCACCCCGGTAACGAGGGCTCTCTCTCCCTCTCCCTCTCTCTCTCCCTTTCCCTATCTCTCTCCCTCTCCCTCTCTCTCTCCCTCTCCCTCTCCCTCTGCGTGTGTGTGTGTGCATGTGTGTGGTAGTGGTGGCGGGTGGGCGCGAAATCACTCTGAAGTGCCTATATCCAATGGTCTGCCCTTTCTTGCCTCCGTCACTGGGGCGAGCTAGGCCTCCAACGGTCTCTGCCCAGGATGCAAGTAGAAAAGGGTGTTGGTCCGGCCGCCCTTTACGGCCGATACCGGCCCCAAAAATCATCAAGACATTTTTCGGGGGGCGTGTCCTGGATCCAAGGAACAGGTCTAGGGTGACCCCCTTTTTTATTTACTTTCGGGGGGCCTTCCGGACAAGCCTTCGACGGTCCGGCGGCGTCCAGACACTAGACAGCAGATCGTCTGGATGCCTTTCCGGATGTCCGGATGGTAGCCATGATATATGAACCTTTGCGCATCAAGGCCTGCGTATAAAAACCCCAATTCCGAAACTGCAATTTGCAATTTTCCACAAAATAAATTCAAACCCTCTACTACACCCTCAATCTTTTCATTAAAAAAAAAAAAAAAAAAAAAAAAAAAAAAAAAAAAAAAAAAAAAAAAAAGCACTACGGACCTGTTCTGCGGACGTGAATGTGTCCGATTGTGGGATTGGCGATATCCCAGTCTGCAGTAGATGCATTAGCCTCTCACGAGTGTTGAAGAGCCTGTCTCTCACTGTTCCTAGGATTACTCGATATGGCTCCATGCCAGGCACCAATTTCCAAAACTCTGCGCGTCACAACATAGGACGGGGGGAAAAAATGCGAGCGAAAACTGAAAATCAGGATCGCAGATTGAACACACACACACACACACACAAAAACACACACACACACACACACACACACACACACACACACACACACACACAGAGGGAGAGAACACGACTTGAGACGCCCACCGTGACACCGTCTTTCACTAAATAGAACGTAGGTATGTTCGTTATCGCTGTGTCTAGACTCTAGAGTCTAGACTGACAGTTGCCCCAAATGCAGGCATAATTACAGTACATCTAGGCTACCAGAGTGGCGCAGGAGGACTTGCCCAGCCCAGCCCAACCCAAAAAAATAAAGAATAATGTATAAATAAATTAAAATAATATAATATAATTTATCAATATTCAAAAAAATCATGAAAAAAATGTACATATATTTTTTATTTTGATTTCTAATCTTAATTTGGTAAGGAATTTATATTTGAACCTGGGAAAAAAGTTGTTCAGTTTATTTTTCTGCATAATTTTTTTTTTTTTTTAACTTTATTTGAACTTATTTAAAATAAATTTCATAGCTATTGATTTTCCTTTTTTTTTTATCAAGGGACTTTCCTTGGCCCTTGCCCGACTGGGCCGCCCGGGCAACCAAGGTGACCTGAGTGGCCGGGTTCGTAGCCCAGCTGTACATTCTTTTTTTTTGTTTTACAAAAAAAAATAAAAAAAGGAGTACATCATATCATCACAGGCTGGGAAACGGGCCCAGCGTCCCTCCAATCAATAACCTCGGCCCGCAGGGATGAACCAGGCTCTCCGGCCTGGATTAACCCCACTGCGGCTGAGCACCCGTTAGCCTGCAACGTCACACCCTAATTAACTCTAATTAACATCACACCCTAATTAACTCTAATTAACATCACAGTGATGATCACACCCTAATTAACACTAACTAACATCGCTAACCCTATTTGGGGGAAGATGGTAGTACTGAGTACTCGCGACTGAATGACAGACACCCATATGATCCACTTGCGGAACCACAGCAATTGGCAAGCCACTCGAATTTTATGACATGTCAGAAGAGAGAAGGAACTTT